AAAAACTATTGAATATTATATTATAATTTAAATGATTTGTGATAATAACACAAAATCCATTTATAAAAACACCACGTTCAATCTCAGTTTCAAAATAATCTTTACACAACAATTACGATTTAAGTCGAGATGGCTATTAAGTCTGCCTTGAGTGAGCTATTTTTCGGCATATGCCGTCCTTTTGTTTGGAAGGGATTATTATGGGTCCATTGGGAACAAGCAGATGCCATCATCTGCCTGGCAAAGCAAAATGATGAATAACCATGTGGTGGCACAAAGTCACACATTTCAGCTGGTGTAATAAATACATAAACATCAGACATATGACAGTGTGAAAATATATTCATATGTGTTTGACTTTTTCCATGCAATTGAAAAAAATGTGGCTATGAAAATTCTGGACTCCAGGGATAGTTTTAATGCCTTTCCACTAAATCTTAGGAGTTACTAAATCTTAGGAGTTTTTGTAAGTCTTCAAGTGTAGAAATTCAGTCCTAGGTAACTCTTACAGAGTAAAATAAAAACTGCATTAGTCCTGCAGCAACACTTCCTTCCTTATTTTTCTTCTGACATGTTTTCAGACACCTCTGCTTGAAATTGAATTAAGGTTTAGACTATTATTAATGCCTTCATTTCCACAAGTAAAGATGTTTCAGTACATTTGCTTGCCAAACAAAAATAAAATGTTAATTTAACATAAAGAAATGAGAACAATGAGCTGTTAGCCAGCTAAATCAATCCTTGCTGATTGGGGAACATGCAAAATAGAAACAATTATTCTTGTATTTGTAATAATGAATAATTACATATTTAATTTAGACATGTAAAAACACTGAATAACATTGCTTTGAATAATTACAAGTGGATGATGTGTTTTTGACAAACACAACTTTGAGCACCTTGGATTTGCCATGATTGAAAAGACTACTAGAGATAAACACTATTTGTTTCAAATTACTTGTTTTGACTTTGTTTTACATGAGGCTTGGCAAGTAACAAATACTTTGAAGTAAAAACATTGTTAGCATAGAAATGTATTTTTTTTCATATTACTTCACAGTCTTTACAGCAGATTCACCCTTCCTGGTTTTGGGTATGGTCACTGTCAGACAATGTTCTTGGCACACAAGCAGAGACAAATTGAAACTTGGGAGCGAAATACAAAATGCTCTTCTAAACAGCAGGGAGCAAGCGCTCCAAGGAGAGTATTCAAAACTCCACAACAATGGCTGCACCTGCTGCAATTTATTTCCCCCTACTTCTCATCACCCCTGCCAGCCACCAAAAACAGGAAATTAAGGTCCAAGGAGTGTGTACTTCACTGACGTCACTGATGATTTCAAAACTTCAAACAGTCCCCCCCTGCTGTTCCCCCCTGGGGATTGAAGTGAAAAGATGCCTGTTGCATCTTTAAACACTCAGGTTTACTTTCAAAAAAGTTATACATATTTCAGATTATGTGATTGCAGTCAAAGTGATTACACTCACTTTTCAGTTGTGTTCTGTGTTAAATTAATGTTGTTTAAAGCAGCGGTTTTCAAAGTGTGAGGCGCGCCTCCCTGGGGGGGCGCCAGAGAGCTTCAGGGGAGGCGCAGCGGGAGAAAAAAAATTACGAGAAAAAGACGAGTAAAGTGTCACTTGCACACTTTTGGCTGTCTGTGGGGACCGAGTTCCCCCACCTCGCCAAAAAGGCTGTAAAAGTGCTCATTCCCTTCACCTCCACAGGGGCAGACTGGCCATCTGTGTGTTCTGGAGAATCACAGAACGGCCGGTCGTCAGCGGGCCATTGACGGCCGGCTCGGTTCGCTGACGGCCGGCATTGCCCTTAATTTTNTTAAATACAAATGAAAGCAATAGACAGGAATATATGCATATACGGTAGAAAGGACACAATGAATATTATAACATTTCATGTAGCCTTACTATGAAGCCTAACCTAAATACGGTGCTTTTCTACAGATTACTTTATTACTGCACTGGTAAGGTAAAATTAGGCCGATTAATAAGATGTGAAGTGCTTTGTAACTTTGACCCGCTTGACTGAATACAGTACACAACAAACAATGAAGAAAGAGTTTTATCTGGGCTGCTTCGCTGCCAGCTGCTCCCCCCGGGATCCGAAAGTGGCGTATAGCCTGTACTGTACGAAAGTGCTCGATATATGCGATATTGAACCAATAAACCAACACAAACTAACTGTATCACTATAACATGATGATGTATGATGATGATGATGATGAGGGTGAAGTAAGAATGCATCTAACGTTCCGCTGTTCATTATAATAAAAAAACAGAGCATTACGTAAACAAACCATCATGCTCTTACTTTGAAATCATGCGGAAATGTCGTCATCAGCAGGCCATCACGTGGTTTCCTTAAATAAGCGAGTGACACGAGTAGATTTTAGCCGAGACCGGCGGAAAATATGTCTCAAAATTCCGTGTGTGTAAAAAGACGATCCACAAGCAGAAATGTGAGATCCACGAGCAGAGATTTGAGATCTGCAAGCGCATTTTTGGTCGACAAATACAAAATGGATTCACAAATGCCTGATTGAAAGTTGTAAATGTTAAAGAGATATTCACAGATCTTTTTTTTACTTGTGAAAATATTTAGCGTATTTGCAGATCCATTTTACACTTGCAAATGTAGGCTATTTGTGAGTTTGCAAATCTTTTAAATGCATTTGTGGATGGTGTTTTACATTTACAAATCACATATTTACACACAAATTATTTTTATGTTCACACAAATAATTATGAGACATACCTATGCCCATACCGTTCCCTCTCCACAGGGAATGAGTGGTGTTATCTGACATTAGCGATACCTAGACACACAGAAACTGCTCAATCCGTGAAGACAAGTCCATTTAGAGTGGTTGCTCAACTGTAACAAAACTTTTCCATTAATCTGTTTTAATGCACTTCCAAGACGCCCTTGTGCTGCACTGAACGCAACTTGAATAACATCGTTTTTTTTAGGTTGAGATGTGAATGTGTCACTTGTCTTGGACCCCTCAACTTGACTTATTACACCCTCACAGTGTTGAGAAATTCTGCACTCTCCGCTCGTCTTTTATCAAAATCATTCAAGTTCAGAGCATGGCTAGTGAGATTGATGGAAAATTGAGCTGCTCTCTCATGCAGTAAAGAACAGTGCAGCCATTCCCTCGTCTGCCACTCCTCCATCAGTCCAAATGTGCACAGATATAGACTATTGATAAATGCGTCTGAACTATTCTGAGACTGGAAATTTAGAGGCTTGAATTTTGCCTTGTTCTACTGTGGTGCACGGATAAATCTGGCTAAATGCTAGACAGTGATACTCTCTGACACCTGAGGCAGCCACGTATTTCTCTGCATGGGGACACCAGGCCTCCAATTTATCTCCAGACTTGTGTCTATTTCTGATGATTGAGTTCTATAATTTCCAGAAATGGCCTCTTAAATCACAATGTATTTTACAGTGTGTGAACTCTCGATTAAATTGCAGACAGTGTCTACCGTTTCATGGAGAAATAACTGTCTTGAAACGATTTTAAACATTGTTCACTCAAGGGGCTCAATTGGAGATTTCAGCTGTATGAAGCACTGAAAACCTTTGTACAAGAGGGATACAAGTACACTTTGGTTTGGTATTGATAACACACATTTAAGGTGGTGCTAGAAGTGCTGCTCCTAGTACTAGACTCTTGGTACTAGGATGGGTTAAATACAGAGAACACATTTCACTAGTGCTGTGTGTTCTGCATGTGTGACCATTAACGAGGGTTTCATCTCTCCCAATTCAGTGGGATTTTGTTACCTTAAAGGTGACCTATAAAAAATGCACTTTTGTACGTCTTGTATACATGAATATGTGTCCCCGGTGTTCAAGGGAACTCACCAAGTGTCAGAAAACACAACCCTCTCTATTTTCCTCCATACCCAAATCTCTTAAAAAGGGGCTGCAACGGATCTGATACAGACTGATCCAGATTTGAACACTTCTATGACGTCACAGAAGTGGCGCTACGGCTATTGGGCCAATTCCACCAATCAGGAGGAGACAGCCACGGACATTGCCGTTCGAAAGCGCTGGAGACGCTGTAGTACATATGCCAGGCCTTTAGATGGTGCTGTTCTCACAGAATCAGCCCATGCAAAGACAGTGTTAAATTGAGCAAAATGAGGAATGGCTAAGATGCATGATCTGTTTGGTATTTTGAAAAATAAAAAAGTATAAATATGCCTTATATAGGTATGGTCCTACACTATATTATTCAAATATAGCATGATAGGTCCACTTTAAAAAGGACATATCCCAGGCTAGCAGGTTCCCTATTTCTTGTCTTTATGCTCAGTGAACCGGCCCCAGCTCCATATTTGCCGCACAGACTGAAGAGTGGTATTGGTCCTCTCATTTAACTGAGAGAAATTGAATATATGTCATTTCCCAAACATGTTAAATCATTAACTTAAATGCAACTTGATTAGATTTGGCAGATATTAATTTAATTCTAATGATTCATGGATAATTGGATGATGACTCTTTACAAAGAAAGTAATTAGGAATAGATGGAGAATGTTTATAATGTTAAGATTCTCATTCTGGGTATTTTCAAGCTGAAATATTGAGAGCAATTTGCAGGATATATCAGCTAATAAATAATAGTTTTAATTGCCTTTGGGACAATCAGTTACACATTGTGAAAAATGTACCTTCCTCCATGGACCCACATGTGCCATGGTATCATCGCATTTTTTGAACGGAAACAACATCAGCACTTTTCTTAAACAATGACAGGTGCAAAGAATATGTAGTATTTTCTCAATTTCAAGATTGGTTAATGCTAGAGAAAGAAGAAAACTAAATACTATTACGTAGACTTCAGCAGCCTCATTATTTGATCGCCACAGCTTCCAGTGGGGTCCACATCTGCATGCAAATATTATTGACTGGCTAAAAATGGGTTACTGCTGGTGAAATTATTTAGAATTATTGTCTTGTTTTTCAGACTCCAGAGCCAGCGATGGGGCACCGCAGAAAATTGACCATGCTGTCATCGGCGGAGTGGTTGCCGTGGTGATGTTTGCCATCCTCTGTGCACTCATTGTTCTTGGTCGATACTTTGCCAGACACAAAGGTAAGGCAATGGCGGCGCAATCATACTTGATCATGAACACATCTTAGAGTTAAGTGTTTGTTGGTTGCAAGTGGAATGCAATAGGATTGAGGAGCACAAGTGGAGGAAGAGATTTGTTGCTAATTCGTCTGTACTTTTTCCAGGAACTTACTTCACACATGAGGCCAAAGGGGCGGACGACGCAGCCGACGCAGACACGGCCATCATCAACGCGGAGGGTGGACACAACAACTCAGACGAGAAGAAGGAGTACTATATCTAAATCGAGCAGGCCAGGAGAGACGGGTGGGGATGCTGGTGGTGGTGGATGTGCTTTGAGAGTCTAACTCTGATTTCTTACAAGAAGGCTTGAGGCAGGGAGTGTGAGATTTAAAGAGGAAGAAAAGAAAACGTGGAAAGTAGGACTGGCATGGCCAAGTGGTAAGAAGAGGCTTTGCTGAATCTCCTATCCGACCCTTCCTGGACTGCTGGGGCCTATTCTGTACAGTTCAATTATTTTACAGACAATTTTGTGCCTTGTTCTATTTCTTTTTTTCTCCCCCCCCTTCAAATTTTTCTTTGGATTGTATTTTTTTTCATTATACCTAACCTAATCCTTTGATACATTTGGGTTTTGGAAAGTAAATAGTCCTGGTGTTTGTGTTCTGTTTTTAGCTCATGTACCCAGATCAGAGGAGCCAGCTCACAGACACTTTTATTATTATTTGTTTGAGTAATCTCAAGACTTCAGTAACTGAAACACAGTGTCAATACTATCCTCCCTGCTGGGTCAAAGTTCAACAGTCCTTGCAAATTCCTACCATACTTGTTTTGACATACTTAAGTGCATATCTTATTGACTCCCCTTTGAGGTCAGGTTCACTGTGTTGATTACTAATGTAACAGTTGTGAGTAATCTTCATGCTCGTCTTAGAATGTATTTGTTCTTGAAAGTGAAGTAGCAGTGCCGTTTAGTATCATTTCACACCAAACCGCAGTGTACAACTGGCCCCTCGCTGGTTTCAAGACAACATCTGAAATAGATGTGAGGTCAGTTTAGTATTGTTTAGGGTATTGTGGAGTTAGACAGTAAGACATCTTGAACGCTGTAATGTGCCATGAACTAGAGTTCAAATTTCTATAGAGAAAAATCAGAACCAATATATTTAACAACATATAACATGTACTGTCATCTGCTTTCTTTGTTTTTGGAGTCAAGAGCTGAAAAATGGGGTCAAAAAAACATTAATGGCGTAGTTGGACATTTGAGAAATTGTGCTTTTTTGCATTATTGGCATGAGTAAAATTGATTCCTCCATCGTGTCTATTAGCTACATGCAAGCTAACAACAAGCAGCCAGTTAGCTTTGCCAAGCATTAAGACTGAAAACAGGAAGAAACTGTTCTGTCAATAGGTTAAAAAAAAAGACAACAAACACCCAAGCTGTCATTCCCACACTTTTGTTGTTGTAAAGGTTTAACAAACAAGTTGATACATGAGCTTTAGAGGCACTCACAGGTGGATTAGTTACATTTGGCCAGTGTCAGGCTAGCTGTTTCTCTGTTTCCAGCCTTTGTGCTAAGCTAAGCGAACAGTCGGCTCATGTTCATTCTGCCGACATAGTTTGAATGGTTTTGATCTTCGCATTTAAGTATAGGAGAGAAGAAATACATGTATTTCCCAAAATGTCAAACTACTCCTCAAAAGCAGAATATCTTTGTTTGTAATTACTTTGTCGGATGGACTTAAAACATGGTAAAAAAAAGCGGCTAATAAGTACAGAGCCAAGAAAACAGATTATTAAAATTAAATGGATTTTAAGGTCAGACTTTACTTTTAGTATGTACAAATAAACTCTGCAGTACCTCAAAGAGTGACGATTCCTGCCGCATAGATAATGAAATCGAATTAACATGTATTATTGCTAGATATTGGTACAGCCTGCTGTGCGTGCTTTTGGTTTGAAATTGAAATTCTTCATATTTTCATACCACCCACACGGTCGACCCTGGACCAAATATAATAATAATGCGAGTGTGCATACAAACAGTGAATATCACTTGTATGAGGCAAAGGCTGAAAGTCCACTGTGCAGAGAGCTCCTCTCTAAATAATTGATTTTAAAAAGAAGATGATACAGTACATTAACCATTTAATTGGATACATTTCCAGGGCAATGGTTTATTTTATTTTGCAAAGTTTTATATTTAAATTTGATAATACTGTTCAAATAAAGAGGAATTGTTACACTTTCAATAAAAAAGTTTCCTTTCAGTGAGAATAACCGACCATGGTATGTCCCTGTGAATACCTGAAAAAAATTAATATTTTTGCTTAATTCCTGGCTTAGAAATCCTTGCCACACAATACACTGTTTTGCCCTTGCCCATACACAAGTGTAAAAAGTCATTCAGTCATTGAACATGTGAATCGGTTATATTTCCTTTCTGTCTGCAAAGACATTTTACCTTTGGGCTTTGATATCTTGTAAGGACTGAGGGTCTCACAAGTTATCAAAGATTTGCGTTGAGCTTTAGACTTGGTTTGCGGAAAGATCATTTTCTTACTGTCATCCTGCAGCCTCAAACCTTTACAAAGGAGCCGTCTACTGTCACAAATGTATTTTTTTTCCCCCACTAACACAAATCAGAAGATCCTGCACTTGCTCACAGATACGCAGTGTGCACACCGTGCAAGCTTCATGCCTCCGAGTCTGTCACAGCTAGGAGTGTAAAGCCTGTTTGGTAATTAGAAAGGGATTTCATTGTGTTACCTGAATAAGACAAAAAAAGAAAACTGTAAATGTATTGTGAAAAAGGATAACCACTGCCTTAAAGCTATCTCTTGATACTCATTAAAAGAAACGACTGAAGGACTTTATTTAGTGCCTTCTATTATTTTGAGGCATATGGTTAGTATCTTACAGTATCCTCATGTACACTCTTACAGTATATATTGTATATTTCTCTCCTTTCTAACTTACAGGGCCAATTCTCATCCAGGTTGTATGTGTTCAACCAGACTTGCATCACAATTACCGCCTGGAGCATAAAAAAGCTAAAATGAGTTAAAATATATATATATTTCTTTGTTTATCAGGGTGGTGTGGCAGCTTCCAATAACTACAATGTCGTAAGCCAGGGTGTAGTATTTATTTTCTTAATGAGTGATCGCAAAACAAATTCAATTTGGTCATAATTATTTTCTCTGCTCTACTTCACTTGTTATTTATTTGGATATCTTCAAGGACACGGCTTGCTATTAATGTCAGACAGGAATATGTTACAAAAAGCTATAATAAGCTACAATAAAAGTTCATTTTTCAAGATTTTAAATGGAGTTTTGGTGTCATGGAAACAGCTATGTGCATGACATTTTATTTTGAGGGTTGATATTTATCTTAAATGGTTTTGAAGTGACTTCTTTTAAATCAAGGAACATAAAAAATATTGTCGAAATAATTTTAATCCAATGTTTTATTTGTTTTAAATATTTGATATCTAGAATGTTTGTTTTCACTCTCTCAGGTTCATGAGTGTTAATAGTTGTGTTTTGTTTTTTTGCATCTCAGGTAGAATGCAAATTAAAGGCCCTCCCAGTATATACTGTAGTACCACAGATATTCAAACAGTGACAAAATCACAAGATGTACATGTTTATTCCCATTTCTACATGTTTGTCTTCTTAATATGGTGCACTGTTACAGTAAACGTTAAATATTATTTTGCATAGACCTAGTTCACAAAGAAATACAACTAGATTTGTTAAGCAGCCGAAAATGATGTACAATCAGTGTCAACAAAATCACAACGATGTTCATGAAACTTCTTCTTCTTCCACCTTAACACTTTGCTCATACAGTATTGGTTATTTAGTCATTATAGGGTGTGACCACAGACAGTCAATCAAGCATCTGTTTGTATTCATTCAGTTCAGGCATCATTTTGATGGATAAAAAGATGGTGTATTTACTGTGACATTAAGTTTTATGAATGATCTGTAACATGTCTTGGATATTTGGATTAAACTCATGTTTAAAGCCCTGACTGGGGAGGGGAGTGTGTGGGGGTGGGGGTTGTTGGTTGTTTTATTACACCCAAAAATTGTTGTTTTTCTTGTTAAATCCTACATTTCTCTCATTACCCAGGTGACATTTTTTCCTTTGTATAGTGAAGAGGATGTTTCTCATACGACCATGCATATTTTGTATTGGTTCACACCAACATTTTTACAAAAGAAAAAAAAAATCCGAGGAGTACTTGTCTTAATAAAAGATATCAATGTTTAAATATGCGGTGTTGTTGTGAATTGATCAAAAACGTGCATTTTCACTTTGTAGTCACGTGTTGCTCGGAGATGCAGGCATCAGCATTTATTAACTGGTATTAATAACTCTCTCCCTGTTTTAACATCCTGAATACATTAGCTGGATTACAGCTGTTCACTTCACCTTGAGCTGCTGATACTTGTCAAACTCCCAAAGAGGAAGATCTCAAGCAGAGGCAAACATTCTGTACCGACTTATATTTAATGTGCAACAGCAGCAATCTGAACTCCCATCAGAGTCTGACACATGCACTGTGGTACGGATGGAGGGGAGAAACGTTTTAAATGACACAATGATTGACACGACAGGCTCAGGGGCCCCTGTTAAGATTTCCAGCTGAACACGTAGATGTTAGTGATTTGACAAATTGATAGGTATTTCGAGGAGCAAGGCTTAGTTCATAACCATAAGCATTTCTGTCATCATAATTCTGTCAGTGCCACCATTTCCCATTACTTTAAGTGATTCATCCCGGGGAAAGGTCAATAACATTATTCAAACTTTAATGGGAATAGTTTAACCTTAGAAACCAGGCGCTTGTCCGTCTACTCGTACAATCATTGAAATATAATGCTTCCCCAAGGGTCTTTAAATACCTGCCTATTGCATTTTCGAACATGACAAATAATGTAATTTTCTCTGTATTTTGTAATCTTTTAGAGGTTAAACTCTTGAAAACGCTGATTAAAAGCGGTAAGAAGGCGTTTGCTGCTCATCTGAACCAGCTGTCGGTGCATCCTGAATGCATGAATGTGAAAAGGTGATGTTTCAGTTAGACAATACTAATCACATTTAAATGTTCAGTTTTAATTTGGAATGACATGTTTAAATGTAATTAGCACAATGGGGAAATGAGAGAGAACGAATGTCTGAGCATGGCTTGTTTAGTTAGCTAATTGATTGATTGAGATTGATGGCATGTAGTACTTGGCTTGGCTGAGGTATAATTAAATGATGTGGGAATAAATAGTGAGTGAACAAAGGCAAACACAACAAACTCCGTCTGAACACACATCTCCCTCTATGTTCGCTCCTATCTAGCATACTTATTGGACTTCCTATTTTGTTTGATGATCCAGTTGTAAAGAAGATATCAAATACCTCTAATTTGTCGCTTTTTAAACTACATATTTATTCCTCACAGAGAATAGTTTGCTGGCTTTCTGTACAGAAGATTTAGACCATATATATATATATATATATATATATATACACTGAACAAAAATATAAACGCAACACTTTTGTTTTTGCTCCCATTTTTCATGAGATGAACTCAAAGATCTAAAACATTTTCTACATACACAAAATAACCATTTCTCTAAAATATTGTTCACAAATCTGAAAGAATCTGTGATAGTGGCCCATGGTGGTGGTGGGGTTATGGTATGGGCAGGCGTATGTTATGGACGACGAACACAGGCCACTCGATTCACAACATTACCCTAACCCTAATCCTAACCCTCACACCAGATACTGACTGGTTTTCGGACCCCCCCAGACCCCCCCAATAAAGCAAAAATGCATGTTTCAGAGTGGCTTTTTATCGTGGCCAGCCTAAGGCACACCTCTGCAATAATGATGCTGTCTAATCAGCATCTTGATATGCCACACCTGTGAGGTGCCTTCCGGCGACATTACTTGGTGGTACTAGACCGAGCGCATGTATTATCGAGCCTTGCACGATATAAGCGATACCATTGGTTGGGGTTCTGTGGAGTGTTCGCGGGGATCTTGTCTGTTCTATCCATACGACTATACACCGCTGATTATTTTTGTACTTGTCTCACATTGTTTCTAATATCTCCACTTACCTTCTTTTCCTCAAATTCACCTGGTTTTCTGGAATTGACTGGTGTTATCTTTTTATTTGTCGGTGAGCGAGTAGTGCGCAAACAGAAGTACGTGTAGACACTGTTTGTCTAGGCTGTGTAAGTCACAACTTCTCCGATAATGAGTACACTATGCACGTTGGGATAGTCTATCAACCGCTCTGATTGTCTTTGTTTAGATTCGGATTTCATCGTGTCAAATAAAATAAAAAATAAGTGTCACGTTAGATATGTTATTAAGTCTCTACTATAATTTTACTGAAACAGAAATTACTCCAACAATACAGAACAAGTCTATTTTTATATTTTTACTTGTACGACTTATGCGTCTATTAGTCGGCCATTAAAATTCCATGACTCCTTCATTACTTATGAATGATTCCCAGTTTGATAACTTCTTGGAGTTGAAAATCAAAATTAACAAAGCGATCTATTAAGGACAGAAACATCCGGTCACGCCCCAAATGATGAGGTGGAGTAATAAAGTTTCTCTCACTGACGTTACCAGTTCTGGTACTTTCTATAGAAAAACTTGAATATTAGAAGGGTTTACCTTAAATAAAACTTTAGTTCGGTAAGTTCGACTACTTTAAGTAGGGTACTCGAAAGTAAGTACCACTTTCGGGACACAAACTTAAGTCGTGGTAAATTAATTTTGTACGTGTGAAAGCTTAATGTAATGGATTAAAAGGTTAAAAATTATTCACTTTTATATATGTCTCCACTATGTAATAACTCCACCGTTACGAAAGACGTCGTCAAGTGACACTGACTGAATGCCGGACACATGTCTGGAAAACATTTGACAATTGTCGCCGGTGTTTTATGTGAAATATAAGACTCTTGTCTTTGTGTGTAGTTTTGTATTCACCTAAGATTTTGTAGGATAGGGGCTGCTAACCTAAACGTCTTCTCTTCGACCCACAGAGTTACTTGAACATTTCGTAGTATTTCTAGTAAAATGACTGGTAGCTAGTCTTCTATCTAGCCACTTGTACATAGAGTTTAATTATTTACTGAAATTTACATATAATTAATACAGGAGTTGTTAAACGATATATATAACTATAAACTTTCTACTGTAACGTCTGCAAAAAAAACGTCTTATTTTCTCTCCCTTTAACCCTTTACAAACGATAACATATGACAGCCACCGATACTTCGCCATTGTAGTTACATTTAAACCTTTTTATTTCGAACAAACACGAGACGGTCTTTTCTCCTCAGTGGAACTTTAGTAACTCCATCCACTTTAAGTCTCTACGGACGAACTTCTAGTCCGAGTCGTGCTATTAATGGCTAAAGGACAGACTTGTGCGTTGAGGGAAAATAATCACCCGCCCACCTCTGTAACAAAAAAAAAAATCGAAAGAGATTAATTGTGTGATTTAAAGTTCAGTTGTAGGACGTGTAAAGGAGGGAGGACCATTTGTAGGTAGAGACTATTCTAGTCTCATATATTTGTAGTTCGTCTGTAGCACTGTAATTCTCGGATATCCACCGACAAGGGTGGTCGTAGAAGTCCAATAGCTCAATTAGTGGGAGTGTTTGTGTGAGAGAAGAGGGACCTGTGAAAGTCTGTCCTAATTGACCGACCAACACACACGAAAATTAAATTACGTCTAAATAGAGTCAGTATGTCATCGTCAGATTCTATTAACAGAACAACTATAGTTTCGAAGCCCACAAACAGGAAGTAGATAACAAACTCTACGGATGAGCGTCTATTAGGCAAAGTGGTCTTTTATTGCCGTAAATGGGTGGTTTGTTATTATATCAATGTATATATGCTTTGTGAATCTAACCTACCGTGACTCAAACATTGGCTGACACTGACGGTTACCACACTTGTGTGAGTGTACACAATATACCTTTGTCTAAAACTCACGTTCTTTGTTAGTACTTTGAAGTGTCAAAACCAACAAGTTTAATTTTAGTTCCGCATCAAATTCTAACGACACCAGTTCATAACACGGCCACCACCACCCCAATCTCTCCCTTTTACGGTCGACTTTATTTTCTAATTACACACCGAACAACATACTTCAATTTTGTAAATGATTGTTGAAGTGGTCTGTATCGTCACTGTCGAACTTACTAAATTTCCGACTGGTTATAGTTGAAAATACTTCATTTCATACAACTATAAATTCTATTATAATTTTTTTGTACTGAGTTACCGTCTATATTACCCTTAATTCGCATGGACCCAACAACATGTAGGTCTTTTGTCGTCATAAAAGACATAATTACTCGTAAAATGAACTTTTACGTCGTAAGTTAATACAATGTACTTTCATACTACAACTACAAAGCGACTGGACTATTTTGTTAACACAAAAATATGTCATGTATATATATATATATATATATATATGTATATGATATATATTATGATATATATATAATAATATATATATAATGTACTTGTTTTTTATATTTGCGTTGTGAAAACAAAACGATGGTAAAAAGTACTCTACTTGAGTTTCTATATTTTGTAAAAGATATATGTGTTTTATTGTAAAAGAGTTAGACAATTTTTTTTTTTAGGACTTTTTTTTTTAGCGGGTGGTGACACTATCACTCGTGAATAAGGAAGGAC